AGAGTTCACACGTTGGTACCAGAGTACAGGTAGACATCCCTGCTCTATCTCATGTACCAGATGAATCATGGTCTTGGTTTGCACTCCTCTTAGAAGGGGAGAAGAAACCTCTCCTAGCCCTGGTCCATTTTATGAGATCTTTGTCTAGGAGGACCAGAGGAAGGGAGACAGTCTCTCTTCCTCCTGGAAGAGGAATCCAAACCTGGCCAAACAACAGCCCATGCTGGCTGAGATGCCACTAAGGGGTCTGGCAATCTTTGGAGTTCCCTAGTGCTGAAGCAAACCTCATGGTCTGCTCCAGAAGGTACTGCTTCAAGTGAAAGCTTCTGGCCATCTGCATTTCTTTGCCTTTCTCTTCTGAATGACTTGCAGATTTCTTTAACGTGCCCTTCCCCCAACAAGTCTGAGGGTCACTATAAGGGTTCGCTACACCACACAACAGTGAGGGCATCACACCAGGCAAAATCCTAACTATTAGTAAACTAAACCTAAGGGTACTACTATACGAACGACAACTAACAACTATACATGGGGGGGAAAACCACAGACAGCACCGTGAAACAAGGCTTGAGGTAAAAACCACAACGAGCACTCTTACTCAAGCTCTGGGCAGTGAGAAGGAACTGATGCAGGTATGGGTAGGAGCACCGCCTGTATAGATACTGCTTAGCAAAGTTCTCTGGCTTTGGTGTGCTGGGTGGGTACATACCTGAGTTGAACACATGGATGCAAACACGAAGAAAAACCTCCAATAACAGGAATTCTACAACCTCCCTTGGTAGCCTATTCCAATACTTAACTATTCTTAGATTTAGAAAGTGCATCTGAAGAAGTGGTGTTTTACCCACGAAAGCTTATGCCCAAACAAATCTGTTAGTCTTTAAGGTGCCACCAGACTCCTTGTTGTTTTCTTAGATTTAGAAAGTTTTTCCTAATATCTAACCTAAATCTTCCTTGCTGCAGATTAAGCTGATTACTTCTTGTCCTACTTGCAGTAGGACCACTGATCACTATCCTTTTTATAACAGCACATTTGAAGACTCATCATGTCCCTCTTCAATCTTTTTCTCAAGACTGAACATACCCAGTTTTTTGGGTTATTTTTTTAAACCTTTCCTCATAGGTCAGGTTTTCTAAACCTGTTATAATTTTTGCTGCTCTCCTCTGGAGCCTCTCCCATTTGTCCACATTTTTCTTTATGTTTGAGCATCCAAAACTGGAATCAACACTGCAGATGGGTCCTCCACAATGCCAAGCGGAACAAAACAATTGCCCCTTGTGTCTTACATATGACACTCCTGTTAATACACCCCACAATGATATTAGTCTCTTTTGCAACTGCCTCACATTGCTGGCTCATATGCAATTTGTGGTCCTCTACAACACCCAGCAGTACTATCACCTAGCCAGTTATTCACCCATTTTGTATTTATGCATGGGATTTTTCCTTCTTACATGTAGTACATTTAACTTTACTTTATTGAATTTCATCCTGTTGATTTCAGACCAATTCTTCAATTTGTCAAGGTCTTTTGATTTCTAATCCTGTCCTGCAAAGTGCTTGCAACCCCTAACAGTTTGGTGTCAAGTGCAAATTTTATAAGAGTAGTCTCTACTCCATTATCCAAGTCTTTAATGAAAATATTGACTAGTACCAGACTCAGGACAGAACCCTGCATGACCGCATGAGATAGGTCTTCCTAGTTTGACAGCTAGCCATTGATAATTATTCTTTGAGTGCAGTTTTTCAACCAGTTGCATATCCACCTTATAGTAACTATGGATGAAGGGAAAGCAGTGCACATGTTGTTCCTTGACTTTAGCAAAGCTTTTGACACGGTCTCCCACAGTATTCTTGCCAGCAGGTTAAAGAAGTATGGGCTGGATGAATGGACTATAAGGTGGACAGAAAGCTGGCTAGATTGTCAGACTCAACGGGTAGTGATCAATGGCTCCATGTCTAGTTGGCAGGCGGAATCAAGTGGAGTGTCCCAGGGGTCGGTCCTGGGGCCGGTTTTGTTCAATATCTTCATAAATGATCTGGAGGATGGCATGGATTGCACCCTCAGCAAGTTTGCAGATGACACTAAACTGGGAGGAGTGGTAGATACGCTGAAGGGTAGGGATAGGATACAGAGGGACCTAGACAAATTGGAGGATTGGGCCAAAAGAAATCTGATAGGTTCAACAAGGACAAGTGCAGAGTCCTGCACTTAGGACGGAAGAATCCAATGCACCACTACAGACTAGGGACCGAATGGCTCGGCAGCAGTTCTGCAGAAAAGGACCTAGGGGTCACAGTGGACGAGAAGTTGGATATGAGTCAACAGTGTGCCCTTGTTGCCAAGAAGGCCAATGACATTTTGGGATGTATAAGTAGGGGCATTGCCAGCAGATCGAGGGACGTGATCGTTCCCCTCTATTCGACACTGGCGAGGCCTCATATGGAATACTGTGTCCAGTTTTGGGCCCCACACTACAAGGAGGATGTGGAAAAATTGGAAAGAGTCCAGTGGAGGGCAACAAAAATGATTAGGGGACTGGAACACATGTGTTATGAGGAGAGGCTGAGGGAACTGGGGATGTTTAGTCTTCAGAAGAGAAGAATGAGGAGGGATTTGGTAGCTGCTTTCAACTAGCTGAAAGGGGGTTCCAAAGAGGATGGCTCTAGACTGTTCTCAGTGGTAGCAGATGACAGAACAAGGAGTAATGGTCTCAAGTTGCAGTGGGGGAGATTTAGGTTGGATATTAGGAAAAACTTTTTCACTACGAGGGTGGTGAAACACTGGAATGAGTTACCTAGGGTGGTGGTGGAATCTCCTTCCCTAGAAGTTTTTAAGGTCAGGCTTGACAAAGCCCTGGCTGGGATGATTTAGTCGGGGATCGGCCCTGCTTTGAGCAGGGAGTTGGACTAGATGACCTCCTGAGCTCCCTTCCAACCCTCATATTCTATGATTCTATGATAACTTCATCTAGGCAACATTTCCCTATGGGACCTAGGGGAACATATGGGACTAAACCAAAAGCTTTACTAAATCAAGATATCTCATATCTACTTGCTTCACCCCCAACCACTAGGCCAGTAAACATGTCAAAGAAAGTAATTAGGTTTGTCTGGCTTTATTTATTCTTGACAAATCCATATTGGCCATTACTTATCACTCAATTATCCTCTAGATGCTTACAAATGGATTGTTTAATACTTTGTTGCAGTATCTTTCCAGATATTGAAGTTTCCCTTTATAAAAAACATGTACTATACGCCCCTTCCAATCCTCCTGCACATCACCCATCCTCAGTAAGTTCTCAAAGATAATTGCTAATGGTTCAAAGATTGCTTTAGTACCCTATCATGAATTTTGTAAGGCCCTGCTGACTTGAATACATCTAAGCTATCTGAATATTCTTCAACCAGTACTTCCTCGATTCTGACTTGTATTCCTTCCTAGTCTTTGTTAATATTAATTATGTTAAACATCTGGTCACCATTCACCCCTTTTTAATTGCAGACTGAGGTAACACGGGCATTAAACACTTCAGTCTTCTTGGTGCCATCTAGTATTAGTTCTCCTTCCCTGCTAAGTAGCAGACTTACACTTTCCTGTGTCTTTCTTTGCTCCCAAGGTATTTATAGAACCTCTTCTTACTGTCTCATGACCCTTGCTAGGTGTAACTCATTTTGTGCCTTAGCCTTTGTGATTTTGTCCCTATATGCTTGTGGTATTCATTTATATTCATCCTTAGCAATCTGGCTATGTTTCCACCTTTTGTAGGATTCCTTTTTGATTTTCAGGTCAGTAAAGAGCTCATGATGGAGCCATACAGGCCTCTTACTATTCTTCTTCTTATCTTTCCTTTGCATCAGGACAGTTTGCTGTTGTGCCTTCGTAGCAGAGCGATGACTCATCAGCACGGCACATCCTGCTGGTTGTCCTGGGAATTAGCTCTTTTCCAGCCTTGGAGCACCCTCTGCCAGCTGGTGGCTCACCTGCCTCAGGCCCCTGTGTCCCTCCTGGACCCCAGTGCCCCTTTAACTTGGGTTCTGCCCCAGCTGTACCCTCACACTCTGCGTCTCTCTTCCCAGGGGAATCCCCAACCCTCTAAGACCATCTTGCCTCCGTGGCTTCTGCCAGTCGTCATCTAGCCCCCTCTCACTGGGGCAAACTGCAGTCTGTAATGGCCACTCATCATCGATAAGGGGGTTGGACCAGCTGCCTCTGCCTATCCCCGGGCTACGCCTCTTTAGCCCCAGTACCTGCCTTGGGCCCCTAACAAGGTCAGACTGGAGCTCCCCAGCTCCTCTTGCCTTTCCTCAGCCCTGCTCTGCTTCAGGTACCCTTTTCTCCCAGGCAGCTAGGTCCTTCAGCTCCTGACTGACAGCCCTTTTATAAGTCCGCTGTGGCCTGATAGGGCATAGCCCCAGCTGTGGCTGCTTCCCCAGTCACCCTAGCCTTTTTCCACTGGAGCAGGTTAACTGCCCCTCAACACCCTTAAATACTGTTTGAGAAACTGCCAGCTCCTGTGAACTCCTTTTTCCCTTAGATTTTTTTTCCCAATGGAACCTTACCCACTAATTCTCTGATTTTCTTCAAGTATTCTTTTTTGAAGTCCATTAGCCTTATTCTGCTGCTCTCCATCCTTCCTTTCCATTGGATCATGAAATTGTCATTTTATGATTACTTTCACCTAAGTGACTGATGCACTAGGAAATGATAACACACTAGCAAGTGCATCTAGCTCACTGTTTCATACTTGTTTAGATCAGCAGAGCTTACAAGTATAAAAAGTAGTAAAAATGCGTGTCATTAAAAAGTGAGCGGATATGAATTAATACACACAGGGACCATATATGCGGAACACACTGGTGCATTACTACTCAAAACAAAACAAAAACTATCATCTTTAGGCTCCTTTAAGCTAGTCTGGTGACATGGTTTTAAGTCATTTTAATGTGTTCCGTTTTTATTTTTACACAGAAGTCAGAAATCGTATTTCAATACCTCCATGGCCTGTGCCAAACGCTCCTCCAGTGCCATATATGTGAGAAACTGAGGATCCACATAAGAAATGGCTTGAGCAACTCCTAGGCCATCACCAAATTCATCAAGTAGTCTGAAAACACCAAAAATGCAATATTAGGAAAAAGAGCCTCCATTTTAAGTGCAGCTTTAACAATATTCAATTGAAAAATTACTTGATCTGTCAGACAAAAACCAGGCAAATCCTAATGAGAGAGACAAGGTGTGTGAGGTAATATCTTTTTACTAAACCAAAGATATTGGTTCAATAAAAAAATATTGCCTCACCTTCTTTGGCTCTCTAATATCTGGGACTGACACAGCTACAACTATACTGCATACAAATCCTAAGGAGTGCATAAAAGCTGGGTTTGTATATGTCAATTAGAGGATGTTTGTGAATCAGTCAGGAGTATGCCCATTTGAAAATTTTGTGCTTCATGTCTCTGCACACAGATGTTCAGATAGACTAAACACTGTGTGTCTATACTTTTTCAAAAACATTTACATCTATTTTAAGTAAAGTTGTACACTCTGCAATGGAACAAACCCATACAAGGCTTCTGACACAATTTCTGACCTTGTATCTGATGCTTTTCTATATTATGCACATGAAAAATAAAAGCAATTTATTTTAGAGATACTTTTTATAAATTCATCAGTATAATTTAGTGACAAGGCTTTGAGATGAGCAGATATTGCAAGATGCAGGTATCAGCATTTGCTAGGTATAAGGGATATGCTTTCTGTTTTCTTATCAACCCTAAAAGATATTACCAATTTTTGTTTTCCAAAAAATTGAAACAAGACTTCGGGTTGTGCCTTTTAGGTCATCATGATGCTAAGCCACACTCTGAAAGCTCTTGCTCCTCTCCCAACAAAAAAGTTTATTTCCTGCTTATTTTTCTACATTAGGAACTCAGGTCCTGTCTAGCCTGGAAGAGACTGTGATGTCACCACAACAATAAAAGTGAAAGGTGAACTATTGTAAAGGTAGGATTTGTAATTAGGCTGCTTAAAACTGTTTTTGGTCACACTTTTGAACTTAAACACCTAAAAATTTTGAATGTAGACTATTTTAAAAATTCAACATCCCACCTTTTCAATTAAGGGCTGAAAGTTAACACTGTACTTGGAAAACCAGCCTTGATATTCCTAAGGTTAAAAAAAAAATGAAATGAAAACCATTGGTTCTTATAAAGCCTTTCTCTGCTAGATTAAACAGCTCTTTGGCACCCTCTGTTTTATCCCCATAAAGCTACTAATACACAGTCATCAAGTCACCTGTTACTCTCCTTTTGGATAAACTAAACAGATTGAACTCCTTAAGTCTCTCATTCTAAGGCATTTTCTCCAACCCTCAAATTATTTTTGAGGCTCTTTTCTGCACTCTCTAATTTTTCAACTTTCTTTTTAAAATGTGGATACCAGACTGTATGCAATATTCTAGTAATGGTCTTATGAATGGCATATGGAGGCAAAGTCATCTCCCTACTCCTATTGTAATTATCTTGATATTTTGCAATATTTCTAAGTAATCTTAACACTGAAATGGAAAGAAACATGTAAAAATGATTTCTATGTGCATAGCACTGAAAAGAGAAATAAGACAAGGTTTATAATGCAGATCTAAATCCCTATAATTGCAGAGGAGTAACTACAAAATAAAAACCTTTACCAAGATCATATATACGTCAACATTCAATTAGATGAATATTCTTATGTAATCAAAAATGTGTATAACAACATTTATATAGGGGCACTTATCAACCTGGAAATGAATCCAAAATTACATCCACAGGATCTCCAATTTGAAATAACTACGTGGTACATCAGAACTATCTTAAAATTTGAACCTGAGCAATATGACACGTCTTAGTCTTCTTGTTGGAAGAAACAGCACTTATTGCAAGTTAACCCTGAAAATCCAGTATCATCGGCTTGTTTAAGCAGTAGAACAATGCTCAATTTGTGGCCTCCTAAATATAGCACAAAGTGCAAGATGACAGAAAAACTAACTATTAATATCATCTCACACAGAGAACCCATCACTTTTATGCACAGGTGCATACCTCCACTCCATGTCTAGGTCTTCACTCATACTGGAGTCATCCTCAAGGTTGTTGTTCCCATCCAACATGAAAAATCCTGGATGCACAAAATGGCTAACTGGATCATTTTCCTCATCACTGCTACTTTCAATTTCTTCATGGTACTGCAGCCAAGGAATCTCTCCCTCCTCCAAAGAGGTCTGTTCCCTACAAACAAATATTAGAAAAGCTGTAACTTAAACAAAATAAGTTCTAAAGTAAATGTAAATAATGGAGGATACTTCTTTTATGCTTAAGGGCTGTAAATGCAGCTCTCAGACTGAGGGTATATCTTCACTACCCGCCAGATCGGTGGGCAGCAATCGATCCAGCAGGGATCGATTTATCGTGTCTGGTCCAGACGCAATAAATCGACCCCTAAGCACTCTCCCGTCGACTCCTGTACTCCAGCACCGCGAGAGGCGCAAGCAGAGTCGATGGGGGAGTGGCAGCGGTTGACTCACTGTGGTGGAGACACCACAGTAAGTCGATCTAAGTACGTCAAATTCAGCTATATTATTCATGTAGCCAAAGTTGCGTAACTTAGATTGGACCCCCCCTCGGTGTAGACCAAGGCTCAGAAGAACTAGACTCTGAATCCAATGTCATCTGCCAAGATCCTAAGAAAATAGCTCCGAGAGGTATCACCTGACCCATTCACCAAAAATCAGAGCTCCGTGACAGCCATAATTCTGTGGTCATGGAATTTGGCTTTTCCCCAAGATGCCACAGAAATCAGCATTTTTACTGCAGAACTTGCTATTTTGTTGCAGCCAGAATCAGGCATTTGTCTCACTGTCCAGCCAGGGCCCAGTTTCCTGCTGAATTTTGCTATCCATCTTTCCCTACAAGAGGGCAGTTAACTGGATTACAGTGCAATCTCTTTGAAATGTTCCATGGAACCAGGAAGCAAGGGATTGGTGACCAAGAACAGGAGTCCAGCTTGCAACATTGGAGCTGGAAAGCCAAAATTGTAGACTGGCCAACTGGCCTGTCTGGAGAATAGCACTAAACAGTTCCATTTCCTTTGCTACTGTTAATATAAGGCAGGCAGAGAGAGGGCACTCCATTTTCTCACTGGCAGATTTGTATATGTTGTTGTATATAATAGGAATCTGGGGAAAAATCATAGGAAAATTCTTATGCTCTCAGGGAAAATCTGAAATTAATATTTTAAATTTACACTTTGATTGTTGCCCCAAGATTTGTACTTTTGTACTGGATCAACAATGGGGGAAAAAAGGGGTACTCTGATCATAACCCTTTTGGACTGATTGTGTGAAGTCTAGTCAGCATAATATATGTTTTAAACAAAAAAAATTAAAATTGCACTGCCCAACAAAGTACATATATCCAGTCATTGGTATACTGGACTGGAGTTAGGAGTCTACCTGGCTTTGCAACTGGACTTACTGCATGACCATGAGCAAACTTTTTTTTTTTTGTCTCTATGCCTCAGACATCCTTCACCTGGGATTAAAACCTGCCTACCCTTAGCAGGGATATTATGAAATTAATTTGGGATATTTTTAAAGTGCTTTCAGATCAAAATTGGTATAGGAGAGTGAAGTTTTATTTCACACAGAGTTGGATACTGAGTCATTTAAGATACAAATACATTTTAGTTTTTTCAGCATCTAATACAGTCTGTGTGTCATGCTCACTTTTGGTTTATCTTTTAAATACATTTTCATTCCTATTTTTACAATTGTTGATGGTGTTTCTCTTCCTATATTTCAATCCATAACCTGATTGAATAAGGTGCTTATCCTTGTAGAACTGAAATCTACTTTGGTGGACATGCAAAACCTACTAGCTATAGATATTAATATACTAGAATATCAGTATACTATAGCTGTTCCATTGGCAAGTCACTTGCGAAAACAGACAATACATTTAAATGATTCTGGAATCCAAATATTAAGTAGAAGTCAGATGGAGAGCAGAAGGAGATGGTACTCTCCCAAGCTCCATCCACCATCAACCCAAGAACTACACACTCTTGTTGCCAAAATTAGATGCTTCACATAGTAAATTGAGAAGATGACCATAAGAGGACCATCCTTCTTTCTGGCATGTTTTCATCACTAATGAAATACTTAAACTAACATTTAAATCAAACAGCCCCAGAGTTAGCACACCAGATGAAGAAAGGATACTCAGAATTCTCAGGTTTCAGAGTAACAGCCGTGTTAGTCTGTATCCGCAAAAAGGAGGACTTGTGGCACCTTAGAGACGGACAAATTTATTTGAGCATAAGCTTTCATGAGCGACAGCTTGTAGCTCATGATAGCTTATGCTCAAATAAATTTGTTCGTCTCTAAGCTGCCACAAAGTACTCCTTTTCTTTTTTCAGAATTCTCAGTGCTATTGTTTCAGGCTGCCTAGAGACCTAGGGAGGCAAAACTGCATGGGTTACACTCATTTTCAAGATTAAGTCTCTAGCCTTTAGAGTGGAGAAGCTAAACTTTTGTTAAATGAAAGCTTAGATTCTGGAAATCAAGATGGGGCCACTAAAGGAAAAGTAGCAGCTCCAACTGCTAGAAGCAAGCCCAATTAACAGCTGGCACACATCTCATCATAGTTTGGCACAAAGTAAAAGGAAAAGCATTGGATTTAGCATCTGCTCACCCTCATTTTTTGCCACAAGCATATAGCTACGTGAGCTAACAGGTGTCAATTACAGGTCTCCTGATACTGTTTTATCTGCTACAAGATGGCTAAACATTGCATTTTAAGTTCTGGAGTGACTGCACCTTGAACATCATACTGATTCCTGATTTTTTTATTTGAAAGATAGTGACAATTTGGAGGAAGTTCAGAGAAAAATCAACATGAATGTCAGGAATTATTTAATTAGGATAGTACACAGGTATATAGCCAAGACTAAGAGGTGAAATCAACAAAGCAAATTTTAGGCTGAATCTCAGGAAAAGCTTTTTTACATTAAAATTTAAACTGTGCAATAATCTCACAAGATAAGTGGTGGAAACCCTGCAACTTAGGACAACAGGTACTAGGCTGAACAATACATAACTAGTACACATAATATTGGGTACAATGTGGCGTTGAGAGCAGGAGATGCACAACAGGTGGAGTTACAGAAGACGCTAACAAGAGTTAACATTTGCCAATTGTAACCACAGAGCTATCCCTAATGGCCTTTAAGGCCTTGCTTAGAGAAGAGAAATAGGTGCCTTCTTAAACCAAGTTAGTTCAACTGAAAACTCCATGTAACATGAATATACACACTCCTTCAGCTTGATTTTAGCAGGTTGAATGATAGGTGAAGTTGAGTTAAAAGGTGTAAAACTGTGTCTACACTGGTGTTAAATGAGTTTTTCAATAAATTTGAACTAACTCAATTGAAAGATGCTTTGTTTAGTTTAAGCTTTTGCTTAGTTCAGAGAACACCTAAACTCTTGCTCACTTTTTTAAAAGAATTGTAAGTTTTCAATTAATTTTTCACTGAAAGAGACACCAGGATTAAATTTGATAAATTACTGGGTCCCTAACTGAGAATAAAGTTGAACTAATATATTGACATCACCCATGTTACTGTTTTTTCAGGTAAGATAGTCTTTAATAGCATTTAAAGAAATTTAATTAAAAAGTTAGTGTTTGGCTCTAGACTGCTCACTTTGCCAGTCAGTGAGGGTCAAGGTCTGTAATTGCCATTAACGGGCATTTTAAGGTGCTGCTGTAATGGAAAATTGAGGTTATGGGCCTCACCGAGTCCCCATCCCCAGAAATCAGAAATAACCCTGATTCCTTGCAAGAACATAGAAGGAGCCTGTCTATCTGCAGCAGAGGACAGACAGCAGGAGACAACTCAACTGCTGCAATTGTTATGCCTCTCCTGCAATCTCGGCAACTATCAGAGGTTGAATAGGACTCAGTATGCTACATTACTGGGGTAGGGGCAGGAAGATACTCCAATATCGCTATGATGGGCTCAATACAAGTACCTGAATAGGAGAGAACAGGCACCAACAAAACCCCTGAGATGTCACCTGCCTATAGTCCCCTTCCCCACACTGGGCACTAACTCCTCTCATATACTACAGAGATGACGGCAGTATAAGAACTTATAAAGAAATGAACAAGTTACATCATGTGGAAAGGACTAGCTCTGCCCAGGATAATCATCCGTGATCTGATTTTCTCCATTCCCTCCCTCCTATTGCACTCAGGGTTATCCTGACTTCTCACTGCAATCTAGTGGTCCCTTTCAACTGTAGAAGGCAGAGTGAGATAAAACAGCTTCTCCAACCTCAGTTATACTCCCTCTCAAAAAGGTGGTGATGCTAAATCCATGTCTGACAGAAGCAGGGATAGGCAAGGAATGCTGGGTAAATACAGCCTATAGCTTTGCTCACCACACACTACACTTCAAACAGGCTGCCCCACTGCAGTGAAAAACTGGGGTAACCGTGTTTGTAGCAGAAGAGAGAGAGAGCAGTTCATGTTCAAATTCATGTATCTGGTAGGCTGCAGCTCTCCATAATCTTGCAGAGGCTATAACATTCTGACAGAGTGGTTAGTTCCCAGTGAGATGTCTGGCAAGAGCAGGGGTTCTCAAACTGGGGGTAGGGACCCTCATGGGGTCGTGAGCTGCCAGCCTCCACCCCCAAACCCCACTTTGCCTCCAGCATTTATAATGGTGTTAAATATATTAAAAAGTGTTTTTAATTTATTAGGGGGAGTCGCACTCAGAGGCTTGCTGTGTGAAAGGAGTCACCAATACAAAAGTTTGAGAACCACTGGGCAAGAGGGAAGAGGGCAGACGAGAAATATTGCTGCAGGTGCCCCTCCCTTTTCCCCTCATTACTCAGTATATTTTGCGTACGCTGTCTCCCAGCAATACAGGGTTTCAAGTATTTGGGAGTGTAAACCTGCCCTCTGCTGTTCTTCAATTGCTGCTCACAGACCTATATGGACTTCCCCTACAGGGGCAGCAGATGTGCTTTCTCCCACTGCAATTAGGTGATTTTAGGGGCCCTTCAATCCCATGGTTTGCCCCCCCCCCTTTTTTTTTAAATAAAGTGTCAGCCACACTGGCCCTGACCCACTTTTTTGTGTGTAATGCAGATCAGGGAATTATTGAGGGTGACTGCCCTGTAAAGACTGTACTGTATACTGTCCTTAGAAAATATGATTTTCACTTCTGACACACTGCAAGAGTCTCAGCTTCTTGGCTATGTAATGCAGAATTGCGTGATTTCTGAAGAGAATGCAAAAATATCTTTTTCAATTGTTTTATGGTTCAGACAGAAAGGATAAAAGCCCTTATGTCTATATTTTTATTCCAATTTAGAAAAAAATCCAACATATGAAGAGGATGAATCACTCTAAATCTCAGCAGTTGTTTGCAACAGGTTACTACCACTGCTCCGATACTAGTTAAGCAACACTTTTATTCATTCACCAAGTGTGAAGGCAAAGGCCTTGAAGAGACCACCTCTAATAATAGGACTATGGGTATTGTGTGGGTGTTGTACACAACACTGTTGACCAACATGACAAGCCACAGACACTGCTTTGATGAAAAGCAAAATTCAGGTGGTAAATTTGCCATGCCAGAGTGCTTGCACTGTGCTGGTCACAAGCCATCTTTTGCAACACAGCAATGGAACTCTAGTGCTTGTCAGAAAGGAAAGCTATTTTTAAAAGATTGGGTATATTCAGATGATTCTTCTATTTCATATAGCAAATACAGAAAAAATGTACCACCCAAGGGAATACACGATCATAATTCAATCAGTCTGTTGATGCCACTGACCTCAAGATTGCAATTTGAATGGCTTGAATGACAGAAAAAAAAACCCAGAGAAAGTCTTGTGCAGCTTTTTGGTCAACAAGGTAATTGAATGCACACTACAGTGAATGTCCTAGGTAAAATTACCTAGTTTTTCTTTAATCCATTTCCTTCTGCATTTCATAGTGAATGACCTTTCTAGCACTGCCTTGAATGCTTACTGATCTTCCAATTATGACAACCCGAAGAAAGCCTATGGCACATTGGGAAGACAACATTCTATATTTTTGGCCAGACTTTGTAAGTTAAAAGAAAAAGAACAGTAAATGCTCAAATTTTGTTTTGGTTTTCGATCCAGATTTAACATATTTTAGACAAATACACAAGAAATGCCCTGCCCTGCATAGAACATAAAAGATAGTTTCGTTGTCATTCATGAGATATTTGTGTTTTTATCAAAAAAACCTTTTCTCTCCCTGCCCAGGCCACCAATAACCCCAAAGAGAAAAATCACAGCTTTATTTAAGAGATCGTATATTGTAGACTCCTCCTTAAGCTAAATATCCACCCTAGGGTACACTTCCCTTGCAACTTTCAAATCTCACATACTTTCAATACCCTTAGTTCTTGATTCATAGAATAACAGAATATTCGGGTTGGAAGAGACCTCGGGAGGTCATCTAGTCTAATCCCCTGCTCAAAGCAGGACCAATACCAACTAAATCATCGCAGCCAAGACTTTGTCAAGCCTAGGTAACCCATTCCAGTGCTTCACCACCCTCCTAGTGAAATAGTGTTTACTAATATCCAACCTAGACCTCCCCCACTGCAACTTGAGACCATTGTTTCTTTTTCTGCCATCTGCCACCACTGAGAACAGCCAAGCTCCATCCTCTTTGGAACCCTCCTTCAGGTAGTTGAAGGCTGCTATCAAATCCCCCCTCACTCTTCTCTTCCGAAGACTAAATAACCCCTCAGTCTCTCCTCATAAATCATGTGCCCCATCCCCCTAATCATTTTCGTTGCCCTCCCCTGGGCTCTCTCCAATTTGGCCACACCCCTTCTGTAGTCGGGGGACCAAACTGGAAGCAATACTCCAGGTGTGGCCTCACCGTGCCAAATAGAGGGGAACAAGCACTTCCCTCAATCGGCTGGCAATGATCCTACTTACACATCCCAAAATGCCATTGGCCTTCTTGGTAACAAGAGCACACTGCTGACTCATATCCAGCTTCTCATCCACTGGAACCCCTAGGTCCTTTTCTGCAGAACTGCTGTTTAGCCAGTCTGTCCCCAGCCTGTAGCGGTGCATGGGATTCTTTCTTCCTAAGTGCAGAACTCTGCATTTGTCCTTGTTGAACCTCATCAGATTTCTTTTGGCCCAATCCTCCAATTCGTCTAGATCACTCTTGACCCTATCCCTGCCCTCCAGCATATCTACCTCTCCCCACATCTTAGTGTCATCTGCGAACTTGCTGAGGATGCAATTAATCCCATCATCCAGATGAGTGATAAAGATGTTGAACAAAACTGGCCCCAGGACCAACCCTGGGGTACTCCGCTTGATACCAGCTGCCAACTAGACATCGAGCTGTTGACCACTACTCGTTGAGCCTGACAATCTAGCCAGCTTTCTACCCACTTTATAGTCCATTCATCCAATCCATACTTCTTTAACTTGCTGGCAAGAATACTGTGGTAGACCGTATCAAACACTTTGCTAAAGTCAAGATATATCACATCCAATTTATAGAAAATATCCTATAACACCATTAGGGGATGAAAATAAAATAACTAAATAGAATTAAAGTGGACATATGTTCCTAATCTGATACAGTATCTCTGCTATTTACTTCCTCTTTCTGGATTTAGAGCCAATATTTATTACTACCAAATATCCCTACATCTCACTCTGGTCTAATCTCTCCAAATTGCCTCATGGAGTGTTACTCTGTTTAAGTTTTACAATTTATTTTTTGTCAATAAATTTGATCAGAGTTGAATTTACACCAGAAAAAACACTCAAAGACTAATTAATAGGCAAAATCCTGCACAGCAACCTGGACACAGAGCCATACAAGGAATCTCCCACAGGAACAAAACAGACCCTGTGAACTCTGAAGACTTTTCCAGATAAATGAAATTTCTAGAATACAATAACCATTGTGACCGAAACAGCTCTGCAGATCAGTTTGAGAAGTGGTGATTTAGAAAATTATTCACCACATTATTATTGTCACTAATATAGCAGCACTATATAAGCTGTACCAATTATTTTAAAAAAAGTATGAAGATCAACATTTTCAAACATCAGTGCCTATATTTGGTCACCTATACCCATATTTAGACATCTAAATCATCTAAATTATTATTTTTTGAAGTGTTGAACACTTGCAACCCTCGAAGTCTGTGAAATCAGGCCATTGTGATTTAGATGCCTACGAACAGATATAAGTAACCAAATTTAGGCACTCATTCACAATTCTTGACATATAATATTATTTACAGGGTAAAAAGAGTAATGGAAAGCTACACACTTTCACCCAAAAATATACACTGAATAACCTTTCAAATGTGTAATCTCCCAGGGCGAGTAATTTATTTGACAGGTGAATAAAATGTTAGGTTCTCCCACCATCAATGTTGCAAAGGCTGGAAAGATCTTGTGTCTGGACTGGTAAGTTTTTAACAGTATTTTTGCAAGTCTGTGCTAATTCATTACACCTGAAATTTATGAAGGCCAGAACAGAGATAGCCTAGTGGTAGCGATTTCCCAAAGCAAGCAGGATCTGAGAGTTCAGAAGAGCAGAAAAACTGGGAGTGACTACTGTTGCTCAAGGAAGAACTCTCTAGTCAATTAAGAAACAATACGGACTGGCTCAGAGGAGAGTTTTATCTAGTTCTCAGCTGGAAGCCTCCACAGTTTGCTTTGAAGAACAAAGTTGCTATGGTCATTGACACACATGACTGAATAGACAAAGAACTGATGATGGCAAATTCCATGACCAGAGGAAGAGGAGCAACCAGGTAAAGAGAAGAATCAGACAGAAAAACATGGAAGTAGATTTGTAGGAGGAGGTATCTGAAAAGTTAACATAAAAAGTAAATATATGTGAAGAAGAAGAGTGTTTATTACAACGAATTTGGACAAAGATAATACAGAATCCACTCTGACTGTTTTAGTCTAGTAAGTCTCTTTTGTTGCTTGCGCAATCATCAGTATTTCTCAATAGCATTACAGTATTACTACAGCTATCATTCAGAAGTCAAGAATTACCAACAGTGGGTCTGTATGAAACATCAGAGTTATTTCCTGTTCTAAATGTAGGCAAATACTGCATTCTTTCTGATGCAACCGAGGTAATTGATGGTAAATTAAGATTTATTAAAAATGGCAATAATTAAATATACTTTTGAGTACATATCGTATTATTAATTCTCACTTATTAGTAGAAATCACTTTCTGAAATACAAAAATACATACCCGCCTTGGAAACAGAAGTCTGTGTTTTCCTCTTCTAGGCCACTGCTGTTGCTCTGCACTTCAGGTTCACGTTCCTCCCTGCCTGGTAAAGTCTCCCAGCTTTCATCACTGGAGGATTGGTCTTTTTCTGTAGCAGCAAAATAGGAGGGCAAACATGCAGACCACTCCCCATCACTGCATTCAGAACTGCAATTTGAGACAAGCCAATGTTGTGTTTAAAGTATTGACAGGTTCATAAGTAAATAAATTAAAAAAAGCCAAAGTTAAAATTCATTATTAGCTATTTCATGAAAAGGGTAGAGAACTGTTTCTAAATAGAAACAATATTTCTGAAATACATTAATTTTGTACCATTCATATATCTTACCATTATGAATAAAAGCTGTTGTTTCTTTATAAAGAGGAGGGTTTATCTTCTTATAACTATGATTTTTAAAAATCATGTCCATATTATTTGGCACAATTTTTCATTTTTCCCTCCTCCATCCATGTTTGCAGAGTCCATGAAATACCTTCAAAATATTCACTCCAGATACTATATAAGAACCCTTTCTCTTGCTGCCTTGGGAAAAGAAAAGGATGGCAAGACCCTTGAGAGGAGCCAGGAGGATACAAGTGTGTGGCAATGGCCTCATTCCCATGGCATGCAAGACTTCACACCCGGACATTGATCCTCCACTTCTAAACACTATTTGGTACTTTAAAAAAAAAAAAATCTCTTTATATGTGAATTTGACATCTAAATTGAAGGAACAGGAGAAAAAAACTGATTAACTACTGAAACAGGGGTGGGCAAACTATGGCCCGGGGGCTGCATTAGGCCCTCCAGACGTTTTAATTTGGCCCTCAAGTTTCCGCTGGGAAGCAGGGTCTGGCGCTTGCCCCACTCTGGCACTCCAGCCAGGGAGCAGGGTGGGGGCTTGCCCTACTCCACGCAGCTCCCAGAAGCAGCGGCATGTCCCCACTCTGGCTCCTACGTGTAGGGGCAATCAGGGGACTCCGCATGCTGCCCCTGCCCCAAGCGCTGCCCCCACAGCTCCCATTAGCCAGGAACTGCAGCCAACGGGAGCTGCAGGGGTGGTGCTTGCAGATAGGGCAGCGTGCAGAGCCGCCTGGCTGCACCTCTGCATAGGAGCCGGAGCAGGGACATGCCACTGTTTCTGGGAGCTGCTTGAGGTAAGCGCCACCCAGAGCCTGCACCCAGAGCTAAAGGTAACCTCGCTGGCACCTGACCAAAATGACCAATGAGGAGACAAGATACTTTCAAAAGCTGGGAGGAGGGAGAGAAACAAAGGGTCTGTGTGTCTGTCTATATTCTGTCTTTGGCGGGGATAGACCAGGAATGGAGTCTTAGAACTTTTAGTAAGTAATCTAGCTAGGTACGTGTTAGATTATGATTTCTTTAAATGGCTGAGAAAAGAACTGTGCTGAATAGAATAACTATTTCTGTCTGTGTATCTTTTTGTAACTTAAGATTTTGCCGAGAGGAGTTCTCTATGTTTTGAATCTAATTACCTGTGAGGTATCTACCATCCTGATTTTACAGGAGGGATTTCTTTATTTCTATTTACTTCTATTTTTATTAAAAGACTTCTTGTAAGAAAACTGAATGCTTTTTCATTGTTCTCAGATCCAAGGGTTTGGGTCTGTGGTCACCTATGCAAATTGGTGAGGCTTTTTATCCAACATTTCCCAAGAAAGGGGGGGGTGCAAGTGTTGGGAGGATTGTTCATTGTTCTTAAGATCCAAGGGTCTGGGTCTGTAGTCACCTAGGCAAATTGGTGAGGCTTTTTACCAAACCTTGTCCAGGAAGTGGGGTGCAAGGTTTTGGGAAGTATTTTGGGGGGAAAGACGTGTCCAAACAGCTCTTCCCCAGTAACCAGTATTAGTTTGGTGGTGGTAGCGGCCAATCCAAGGACAACGGGTGGAATATTTTGTACCTTGGGGAAGTTTTGACCTAAGCTGGTAAAGATAAGCTTAGGAGGTTTTCCTGTGCCCCAACCCCCGCCCCAGCCCTGATACCCCTCCTGCCCTCTGAACCACTCAATCCCAGCCCAGAGCACCCTCCTTCACCCCAAACCCCTCATCCCCAACCCCAACCCAGAGCTTGCACCCCCAGCCAGAGTCTTCCTCCCTCCCCCCCACCAAGCCCCTGCCCCAGACCGGAGCCCCCTCCCGCACCCTGATCTCCTCATTTCTGGCCCCACCCCAGAGCCCACATCCCCAGCCAGAGCACTCACCCCCTACCGCACCCCAACCCCCAATTTTGTGAGCATTTGTGGCCTGCCATACAATTTCCATACCCAGATGTTGACCTCGGGCCAAAAAGTTTGCCCACCCCGGTCTAAAAGAACCAATGGCAGAGATGTTTTTCCTAAGAAAAGGGTAAAGATTGAGGAAGTTTAACTTTCACCCACAACATAGTGCAGTAAAGGAGCACAGTAGATGATATCTGACTGGATGTTACTCTCATGGCTTATAATAGCATTAACATTGTAGAGGCATTTGCTGAATCTCCAGAAGCAGTCTACATAACTTGTCAAACAGCACCTTCTGTAAAACAATTTGCATAGCTCTTGGATCTTTTGCCCCCAGGGACAGAGAACACCTGCTTAGATCAAAGCAGAGATAATGGAGTATGTCATTCAATAAAAAGTTACAGAAAACTATAATGAGTAGGGAAGCAGAGAGTCTGTAATCTGATGGAGAAAATCTCTTTTTATTTAAGACACAAGCAGTCCTGGGACAGCTGCAGATCAGAATTTAATCTGGTAGTCATTATGAAGTTGACATTTGAAATTTTACCTTCTTCCTACCTTCAAACTTATTTGGGAAAATGGAGAAAGTTTCCTTCTAATAGTACATACCCATGCTGACAGAATTTGCTGAAGAACGTGTTTAACCAAATAGCACAGTACACTGGAAGCTACACATGATAAATGCAAGCTGAGGGAAAAATGTTGCAGGATCTGTACGTTTATTTATCCCCACTTCCCCACCAAAAGAGACATCCACAGTTTTATACTGGCTCTGGTCATGCATGCTGAACCTACAATGGTAAATAAAAGCTATCCAGTAAGTGTCCAGTAAAGTTAGATGTCCCTCAGGAGCAGTCCCATAAATACATCTAACTGTCCATCTGATCTATGAATAGTTATTCCCCAGAGGAAATAGTTCCATAAAACTGGAATGTCAATTCAAGCTGTCTTCAAGAGTCTCCAGTAAAACAGCAGTTAGAAGTTCAACAATATCCCATTTGCAAAAGAAATCTGAGAAGTCCATGAGAGAATGCTGTAAAGACAAGTTACATTAAAAATGAACAGATCAAGTTACCACGAGTGAAATCAACTAATTATTGCTTCCACAGTCAGTCATCTATATTCATCTTTTCACTGCATAATATAAATTATTTTCCCTTTGTGTGTCAGTAGCATATAGCCAAACCAATAGCACTGGTATTCCAAAGTTTAATAGTGACAAGGTTAAAGCCCCATCTACAGAACATAATGGAACAGTGTTTTCACCATGGTTAAGGACAACCTGATCCTGACTCTCTCAGGAATCAGGCCTGTAGCACAGCTAATCTCCAAACTGCCCCAACAGTACAGCTGGCCTGCAGCAGCAGGCTGCCTGATTTGTCCTTGCCATCTGACTGGCTGAAGGGGCCAGCAGGCTGGCTCTTAAGTCAGCAGCAGCTGCAGGCTGGCTACTCAACACCCACCATAATGCCTGCTCCTGTATTACCTTGTTCCTGCTACTCCTGCCTGACTCCCACCCCTGCCTCTGTCCTGTCCCTGCCCTTCCTTGCCTCTTACCCTGCTCACTCCAGTTTCTGACCTCCAGCTTGACCATGGATCTTTGACTAATGACTACTGTCTCCAGCTTGCCCCTCAGCTCTGGTATCCAGTTCCTAGCCTCCGGTTTAACCCTTGGCTTTAACTTTTACTACTGATTCTGGCTTGATCCTTCACTCCAGCTTCTCAATACTGATTCTTGCTCTGACCCTAGTCCTTAGTTTCTAAGGACCACTCTGACCACGAGGCCTGATGCCTGCCCCGATACCTAGGTTAAACCACTGTCAGCTGTAACAGCTTACACACACCTTTACTTCTAGTATGTATGAGTTCTCCATCACAAAGGATTTTGAGTTATTTTTGAACTGTTTGCTTTACAGGGATTTACTGTGTGCTTTTCTAGGATAACTCTGCTCTTCTACCCATTCAGCCATATGAAAGATTCTGGCATGATTTCTTATAATAATAGCCAGAGTCCAAATCCAAAGATTAAGGGCAAACATCTGAGACCTAGCTAAGTTAGGGCACCAAGAAAAAGGTCACACCATTAAAAACAAAAAAAATTCATAGTAGTATCTCCCTGTATGGAGAAATCCACTTGGGACAAAAGCTGACTTACGGTGGTAGAAACCCACTGTTTTAATGGGGAAATGTCAACTTGAAACAAAACTGCATTCCCATCTGAAAAGTTTGTATCCATTACTGTCACAAGTGCAAGTTACTATAGCAAAACCAAAACTCTCTTTCATGTGGTTTGTTTTACATGTTTGACACCATGGCATATGGAGTCAGTTACACTATTTTGTTGATGGTGTGTGGCCTTCCCCAAGCCCTATGACGGGATGCTTACCAGTAACAGCAATAGCAGAGCTGAAACGAAGTGAAGAGATAGCGAGTTGTATCTGTAGTTTAAAACACCTGTGCTTACTATTTAATGGGTCATTTACTACCATGATCACTAAGACAATATTCATAAGCATGTGGTCTATATATTTTTTTCCTCCCTATCATTCTACAGCAAAGAGACAGATTGTCTCCTGGGAGGCAATGCTTAAGTTATACAAATGTAGTTCCTCCCCACATCTATAGTAGCAGCACTGTGGAAAGGAAGGTTATGCAATAATATAACCTTGAAAGTAAAATACAGTTACTTACCTACAATAACTGTGGTTCAAGATCATGTAGTCAGTGCAGATCCCACTCCAGCTGTACATGAGCAACACACACACCAGTCTGGATTTTTTGAATAGCCATGTCTGTCAGGGCCTTGAATGTGCCTCATGAGTGGGACAGTCACAACCCTCCCACAATGCCCTCGCAATTCAAAGCCTGTATAGCTGAGGGCTCAGAAAAACTGGGATGGAGGGTGGGTCATGGAATCCACACTAAATA